TCAATACTTAAAGGGGGCTTATAAGAAAGACGGGGACAGACTTTTTAGTAGGGCCTGTAGCGATAGGACAAGGGGTAATGGTTTTAAACTAAAAGGGGGTAGATTCAGACTAGATATAAGGAAGACATTTTTACGGTGTGTTTTTTATGGGTGGTGAAACACTGGAACAGGTTGCTCAGAGAGGTGGTGGATGCCCCATCCCTGGAAACATTCAAGGTCAGGTTGGATGGGACTCTGAGCAACCTGATCTAGTTGAAGATGTCCCTGCTCATTGCAGGGGGGGTTGGACTAGATGACCTTTAAAGGTCCCTTCCAACCCAAACTATTCTATGATTCTGTGATGAGTTTTGCATTGGGCTGAAGTCATCCTGGGAGCAAATGCTCAAAGACAAAGGGAAAACAAGAACAGAGGCCTTTGTATTCCAGCTGTGGTTGGAATATAATGTCAGATGACACAGTCCTGTGTCATCTGAGACATTGCCATGCTTATTGCTGACTCAGCCAGACATCACTGACTGAATCCCAACTCACCCGTTGCCTGCCCAAAGGCATCCATCCAGTGTTATTGCCTCTTAGCATGTCCTTCCTTTGGATTCTCCTCCCATCATCCAAGCAGTTGTTCCTGTGTACAGCCTTAAGCAGAGTGCGAGTTCCCTACTCCTTTACCAGTCCACATTGATGGCCTGTGTGACACCTGGGTTTTGAACAGCTCTTTTTCCATAGAGCATTGTCAGAGGGCACCTCAAGACCAGAGTCTCGCTGAGCAGAGCAAAAATGGAACTAGACAACCAGAGGAATTTCTTTCCCACAGGAGAGGGGAAATGGGGATGTTTTGGGGGCTGGATGCATGTAGAAGACAGAACTGTTCCTCTTCATTACTTACTTAAACCAGTTCTTTTCTCTCTTAGGTATCACAACTGTGCTAACAATGACCACCCTGAGTACCATCTCCCGCAAGCACCTTCCCCGTGTTTCCTATATCACAGCCATGGACCTCTTTGTCTCTGTGTGCTTCATCTTCGTCTTTGCAGCTCTCATGGAGTATGCTACACTCAACTACCTGGTGGGAAACAAGAAACCACTTGAGCACAACAACAGGAAAGCCAGGCTGGTAGGTCAAAGGGGCCAGCAGAGGTGGATACTGTTAGAACCCCAAGCTATTTAGAAATATCCCTCCTGAGCCTGCATTGGAAACTGCTGATGTGGTTTAGTGCCTGACCCATACTGTGTTCATAAGGTCCTCAGACCACTCTGTGTGCTGTGTCTGAGAACCTGAAAGGTGAGACACAACCAGAAAAAGCAGCTAAGGCTCCCCCAAAACAAGGAGGTCCCTGTCAGAGCCAGGCACCCTGTGCTCTCTTCAAAATTGCTGGAGAGCTTATGAGTACAGTTTAGGATGACTGACATGACCAAATGTAAATGTCCACTTTAAGACAGGGTGATCCACACCCAGGTTCTTCCACCTGGACTAGTTTGACCTCTGTGGATTACAGAGGTATCTTAGGTCACAGAGATGCAGAAACCTACTTTCTTTTGTGGTCTGTCCATCAGAAGACCTCCTGAGTGTGGGGATAGTGAACCCAGAGTGGTCATCATCTTCTTGAGATCTGCCCCAGGCTCATGGCAGGTACTTCTGACACATCAGCTGAAACAGGCCTCTGAATTGGGACAGAACTGAAAGCAAAAAAGACAGATCTCTTCTGTGCCAGTCTCATTTCCCAGCACGGGCAGAGAGAGCTCTTCCATGAGGCTGATGATATGCCTCTTCTCCTGGGCCAAGAGGTTATGAGTCACACACAGCCTTTCCCCAGCTTTTCTCCAGCAACTGACAGCAACCAGAAGACACATCTGGACTGTGTGCTGTGTCTTCAGAGACAGCTGAGCTCAGGGGAATGAGGGAAGAGGCTAGCACAGCTGAAACCAAACAGGTCCTGTTTCTGCACTGACTATTAGTGGCAGAGATGGGGAATCAGAACAATTAGGTCTCTGCTGACTAAGGCTATGCCCTAGGGTACCAGGGAGGAAACTCACAGTCATGCAGGGAGCTGCCAGTGTCCACAGTATGCCAAGGTGGTGATTTACAACCAGGTGCAGAGATGGGCGATGATCAGTCATCCCTCTCCATTGAACTGCACCTATGCTATTGTCAATGAGTTTTGGTGTCTAGAACATGGTTTCTTGCCCTTTCCTTCCCTTTAATCCACCTACCCCTCCACATTACAGCCGCCTGCCGGTGCACAGGTGATGCCATCCTTTACCACCATCAACATCAACAACATCATGCACTGGCCCCCAGAGATAGAGGAGGATGAGGATGACGACCCTGGCTCCCCGTGCCTGGAAGGAAAGGAATGTGAGAGGTTCTTCTGCTGCATTGAAGACTGTCAGACAGGAATGTGGCGGGAGGGGAGGGTCCGCATTCACATCTCCCGTCTGGACTCCTACTCTCGCGTCTTCTTCCCCACCGCCTTCCTGCTCTTCAACATTGTCTACTGGATTGCCTATCTCTATCTCTAGCCATTCTTTGTCCTCAGCTGGAATGGAGTGGGGACCAGCAAGATGGGCTTCTCAAGAAGCATAGAGAACAGCATCTCTTCTGTTGTAGTCGATTGTCGGTCTGAGCAATCCAGCCTGGTGATTCCCTCTTTCTGCTCTCTCATCTCTTCTGAGAAGAACCAGACAGCTTTTTTTTAGCCTTCTAACATATCTTTTTAGAGAATCTACCCTTCCCAAACAACCCCCTCTCCAGCACCACCAGCATTTTACTCCTTGTAAGACTGCCCAAAAACGTCCTGTTCCCATCTCAAATGTTAGGGATTTTGTCAAAAACAAAAACCTTAATGCATTTCATTTTTCCATCCAATCCTACTCCAAAATTCCATGGGAAGTGATGGGAAATGGAGTTTTCTGCATAGTTACTAAGATTGGAAAGGAAATAAAGTAGATCTTACAACTTCTGCACCACTTCCACCGGAACAGACTTTGTGGAGCGCTAGAGGCTTGGAAAGGTCAGAAGGAAAGAAGTGTGAAAGAGGGCAGCAGTACAGCTTTCCCACAGTAACTGGGCTTGGCTAAAATGTTTTGAACCTGCCCAGAAAGCTGACAGTGGCACTGACAAGAATGGAGTAGCTGCAAGGCTCCACCAGCTCCCTGTAGAATATCTGTGGAGCATTCCTCATGCATCACTCCACTTGTTGTACCAAGTGGCACCCAAGGCATCCACCCACTGAGGCATTGCTGATTCTCATCAGATGGTGGTAAAAAGCACTTCACAAGTTTGAAAGGCCCATCTGCCTTACTGGAGCAGACTCCTCAGGGCCCACGGTGACATTCTGCTTATGCTGGGCATAGCCAAAAGAGAGAGGAAGTCCTTACACTACAAAGACCAGAAGGAGTTTCACGAGCCAGTTGTGATGTAGCTTCCTCTGGCCTGTCTCATGTGAATTGGGCCCTATTGTACCATGCATCATAGCAGGGAAGTGCTCTCCTTCACAACGACGCTTGTTGAAACCATTAGATCTTTGCTTGGTAGTACGTGCTAACCTGAGAAAAGGGTACTAGAAAAGGGAACATGATCAGCTACCAGTGCTGCACCTACCAGTGGTGGGGAGAGAGCATTCCTGCAGCTCAAATGTGTTTCCTTACTTCCTTTTTTTTTAATAATTACATTAAAAAAACAGACTTCACTAAAACCGTATGGCTCCTCCCAGTTGCCAGCAATATTTGCCCTTTTCTTCCCAAAATCAGGAAATGGAGCGAGTCATCCTTGGTAGATTTCAGGAAGGTCAGACATAGTGATATGGTTCCTTATGGTCCATCTTAAAGGGCTAGAGAAATGCGTAATACAGTCACAACTGGGAAGAGGAAGAGGAAACTCAGCCCAAGGTCCCAAGGTCCATAATGTGTAAATCAGCCGTCTCCCCATTTATACCAACTGCTGATGTGGCCCACAGCATGATTGTGAAAAGCAGTGTGCCATTAATAGTTACTTACTGTGTAAATTACAAACAAACAAAAAAATCCTTTTAAAAACAGCATGTTTTAGAAACAATTAGTACTTAAAAGGCTTGTCACGAGAAGAAAGCTGGCATGGCTGCAGAGAAAAAGCTAGGAACAGCTGGCTTACAGGACAGCTAACAGGGGCAGAAGGTTTTACATATTCTTAGAGAGCAATTTGATCTGGTTTAAAGATGGATTTTGACACTGTTAAATCTGATCTGAATAATGAAGTGTCATGTTTAATTCATTCATAAATACAGCCTTACCTTGGTTCCAGAGGAACAGCTAGAGCGCCTAATTAAGTATACAGTAGTACAACACTCAGCTAAGTATAACCTAATGGGGTCAGACCAGCATAGCTCTGGAAGGGGAAATTGTGCCTGTCTAACCTGTTACAGTTCTTCTTTTAAAATACCAAGTAAGAGATAAAGGTTACCCAGAAGCATAATTTGCTTAGCTATTCCGACAGCTTTTGAAAGGATGGAAAGAAATTATGGCGGGGGGGTCTAACTGAGGAAATTGATTTACCAAAAGAATTATTAAGGAGGTTCTAATTAGAGGAAATTAACTGAGGAGAGGGGAAAAGGAAATTGATACCAAAAGAATTATTAAGGAGGTTCTAATTAGAGGAAATTAACTGAGGAGAGGGGAAAAAAGAATTGTTAAGGAGGCTCTAATTAGAGGAAATTAATGTTTTAGAGAGAAAGACAGAGAGGGAGAAATCTAAGAAAAGAATCAAAACAACTTCCAGACAAGGAGAGCTGTTGGGTGACAGTACCAACTCCCAGGCAAGTGGGCTGATGTTCTGGTTCTGATAGCAAAGCGCTATTAGATGTAGCAACAGAAAAACCTCCTATGACTCAACCGTACACTGACAAGGAGCTGGATTAAACAGGGTCCTGTGATCTCTGTGGGGAGCCAAAAGGAAAGAGCATCCTATATTAAAACTGGCTTACGCGACAGACTCTGAGTGAAGCATGTCTTCAGGTATCAGAAGGCAGCTGCTAGTGTGTGCGTGGGAGGGGGCACCCTGGTGGCAAACCAGGGCCCGTGCCAAATATGCTCATTAACAGTACGGTGGCATAAAAGGCGTGCAGGCAACATAGGCTGCAGCGAACACAGGCAGCAAAATGTGGAAGGGGAGCATCTGAGAAAGGGATGGTGGAAGGAAAAATTTAACATCCATGTGCAAAGGAGTCCAAACATCTGCAATTCACTGTAGCTTCGAAGCACTTGGGAGACTTGATGGACACAGATAATCATCATGGGCACTGCTGTACAGACTTCAGCCCTGAGAGCAGCAGCTTGTTGAAATTAGACCTTTTACAGAATCAGCCAGGAGAGAAGCAGGGTGTACAAGAGACCTAAAAGGATGACAGGGACTTGGGCAAAGTAGACTTGAAAGATTATAAGATTTCACCAAAAAAAAGATAAAGCCAACACACACCTAGGTAGTTTAACCAATGATGGAGGATTTGACAGAGGAAAATAGCCTAGCGTGGGCTGGAGCACAAGGAAGCTGATTACTAAGGCTGGGGAAGGAGGAGGGAGGGGGCTTTTTGGCTTAGGGAAATCTGTGCCCATCATAAATAGCTCAATAAATAAAGGCATGCACGAATTCAATCATGTTTTTCAGTTTCTACAGTATCTCAAAAAAGGAAAGCTAAGAAAAGACAGAAAGAAAAATCCGCCATTTTTTTTAACTACTTTGCAAAGCTCCAGTTTCCTGAAAAAAGGTTTCCCTGCTCTCAGCAGGGAATCCAGGGCACAGTAACCGTGTTTGGCCCGGCTCAGCAAGGCAGTGGGAGCCAAGCCCCACTGGTCCCCTCCTAGATTGGCATAAACCACCTGCCCTTCCCTGCATGCTGTAGTTTCTGCCATCATGCTGGAGTGGGTTATGGTACCGCAGTGTCTTTCAGCCTGGGACAGCTATTGCCTTTTCACCAGCGTCTGACTAGCTCACTCCAGGGGACACAGCCTAAGAACACGGGGCTGAGCTGTGCATCACCAGGCAGGAGGGACAGAGACACCTGGGCAGCTGTAAGACACCTGGGTGGCTGCTCTGCCTCCTCCTCTCACATAGGTTTCAACCTTCTTCCCCGCCCGGAAACTTGGTGGAGAAGCCGGGTATTGCCATCGTCACAGGCAAGTTGGCACTGGGCTTTCCTCACCTCCTCCCTCCCCTTTCCAGGGTTGATCGAGTCACCTTCCCACCCGCAGCGCCTACAGAGGACCTCTGTCAGACAGCTACTACATGACAAGTTTCCTTGCTGGTGGCCTGAGAGTGCCTGATGCTGGCTATCATGGCTGATCCTGTAGCAGAAGAACACACATCCCAAGTTAGTGAACTTTGCTATGAATGTGGTCAGTTCCACCTCTTGCTGGACAATCATCTCTACAACTTCCACGATAAAGTGGACGATAAACTCATGTGCCATATCTGCCTTTAGGCTCTGCTCCAACCTATGGACACCCCCTGTGGACATATGTACTGTTTCAAATGCCTTGAAAATGTCATGCAGGAGTATAAATTTGTCCTGTGGATCGGAAAAAAGCTCTCTTTCCAGCAGTGGCACAAGTCCAGCCTTCTAGTACAAAACCTGTTGGATAAGCTGATTGTCTTCTGTCCTTTCAAGGCAGAGTGTCAGCAGGCAATGCAGCAGTGTGAACTAGAAGCTCATCTGCAGAACAGGTGTCCTGGCTTCAAGATATACAAATCTGAACTACAGTGGAAAAAGAATCCCATTTCCAAAGGGAAGGCACATCCTCCTACCAAGGTGGAGACAAACACACACAAGGATCCAGAGGTACCAAGTGGAGGATCGTCATTTGTGGCAGAAAGCTCTGCAGCTGCTGTGGTATCGCTAGGAACTGCAGAGCTTGGACTGGTTAATCCAGCTTTTGAAGAGACTGAAGAAGACCCTCCTCAGAGAGTTAGTCTTATGGCTGAAACGAACACAATTGAAATTCACGGAGAAGACCCTGAGGAAGAGTTGAGGAGGAGGATAGCTGGGGGTAAAGACACCCCACTAGGAACCACTGTTGTTCAGGAAGTCTTGCGGGATTCTGTCATTGCTGGAGATGGAAGAATAGCACCTGGGGACCATATTCTTGAGGTGAATGGTGTCAACATCAGCAGTGTGACTCACTGCCAAGCTGACTCCTTCCTGCACCACCCAGGGCTCAGTATTGGGGCCAGTTCTGTTCAATATCTTTATCAATGATCTGGATGAGGGGATCGAGTGCACCCTCAGTAAGTTTGCAGATGACACCAAGTTGGGCGGGAGTGTTGATCTGCTCGAGGGTAGGAAGGCTCTGCAGAGGGACCTGGACAGGCTGGAT